ACAAATGTGGTACCTACAGCAATGTCTTATTAATTTAAACATAACTTACACAACACTTTCAATATTAATACAATTCAGCAGTTCAAAAATTAACAGTGGGAGTATAAAATATATTGTACCATGCACAGGGATTCGTTTCAAGTGGCGATGAATAAAACAGTCCTTAAGAATTCAAAATTCGTATTATCTTTCAGAAAATACAGCCATTTCTAGCACTCAATTACAGCTCAAATAACAGCTTAATAGAGCATATAGGCTATGAAACTTCAGACGGTTGATTGAGCTCACAAGAGACTAGCAAATTATTATAACTAAAATATAATATTGCAGACAGAAGCTGGCTCACCGTTTGTCTTTCGACACGTTTCTAGACAATTCTCATATAACTCTATAATTAGTCTTATCTCTACCAAACCTATCATTTTTTCACCAAAAAGGTCGCCAAGCATCGCCAAGATTATCGCAAAGTCGGCAAAAATGTCACTAAACCGAGAATTTATAAGAAATATGAGGCATTATTTTCTAATTATTTTAAATGTTACTTACTTATTTTGTCTTTTTCTGAATTTGTAAATTAGTTTCGGTCTTTGATTAGATATTTATAAGAAATATAAGGCGTTATCTTCTTTCTCAATTATGTAGGAACCAAGCAATCCTCCAGCAAATTTTTCAATTAAATTGTTTATCCATGACCCGTTCGAGATACCCAGCCCCACAACAAAAGAATATTCACAAAAACACACAAACATTTACAAATATATAATAATATCTTTCATTGTGCAGAAGAACATTTAATTTGTTGAACATTGTTTTCTGATTATGCATTCTGATATACATTTTGAGACTCTTTCTGGTTACAATTTTTTCCAATTAGCGTCATTTTTAAAAATAAAGAATTATGTGCACAACAGAATCGCAATCGAATTAGCTTTCTCTTCAAGATCGATAAAAATAATGGATCATTTAAGAGAAATAAGAAATAAAATGCAATGTTTTTCAAAATAGTTCCAATCTGTATAATTTGTAGACTTACGAGGTTATGATTTACAGCTTTTAACATCTATTTTCTTGAAGAGCGAATTGTTTTTCTTGTTCTGTATCTACTAGCAACATTTCCTTGAAAACGACAAATGAAAATGATAAATGGCGAGAAGAAAATGGAATGTCAAGCGAACGTTTCGTCTAATATTTTTCAAACGATCTCAAAGTTTCTTTGCAGTTTAAAGTTATACCACAGGGATGAAACAAAAAAACTGACTGTCACTTTTTGCATTAAAACAAAATATAAAAGGCGTTGAAACTGAATTTTTCTTTACTATTTTAAACTTTCAAACAATTTCTCTGAAGGTTCAATGAAACTAAAGAAACAAAGATTATTTTTCACACTATCAAAAGTCATATAGTAGATAAAAATAAGGGCATATCCTGTAACCTTAACACTAGGTTTAGACGCATTTCGAATTTTATAAGGAAAATTACAAAACCCGTTTGCATTTTTATTTTATCTTTTGTAATGACTTTAATCCATTGATCGAGGTAAATATATATTGAAATCTATTTTCTTCAAAAGAGTTGAAATATTGAAATTCTCTTTGTGGTATACCTATCTCTATGGATATGCGTCAATTTGGCACGATCGTAATTTAGACAAAATTTTGAGTAAACAAGCAAGCATCAGATAAATAATAAATAGGAATGTAACGACAATACTTCGATCCGTTATCCGATATTGTTATCTTAAATGAAACAAGCGATAAACAACTGTTGTCGATAAGCAATAATAGAAAGAACAAACGCAGAATGTCAATGATGTCAGAGTGATGTCAATTGTTCAGAGAAATGTGTATAATTAAATTATTGAATAATAAAAACTTTCCATAAATATATATCTCATATTTTAAATTTTTTTCTTCTTATAGTATGTAATTACATTGCTTTCTAAGTGCTGCTATATGTATTCGTTCGTGCGTCAGTGTTCGTAGAGATAGGTATATAAGAAACATCCGTAAACCTAGTTTTAAATTCTCATCTGCAGTATTTAAATGGCATTTTCTCAAAATAGCGTTTCACTGCTAACTTAAAAATATAGTACCTATTGTTGTTAGGTACTCAGTAATATCGTTAAGTTATGGGAAGAGCTTTTTAATTAATTGAATAAAATCTGACATATGAAACATTACATATGAGGTATTTTTTTAAATAAAGCTATTTTGTTAAAAGCGTTTCTTAAAAACAACTAAGGGTAATGTAAATTTCATTAATAGTGCATTATGTTCCCTTGAATTAGCATTTTTGCTATAATTAAATGGCATTTTCTTAAAATAGCTTTTCAGAGGATTATTTAACAATTTAGTACCCAATAATGTAAAGTACTCAGTTATGCAGTTAGGTTGCAAGATATATTAATTAAATTTGATTAATTAAATAAAGCCATATATATCAAAAACATACATATGAGGTGTATTTTTATAACGCCACTTCGCTGAAAACGATTCTTAAAAACCGTTAAGCAGAATGTAAATTCCATTAAAAATGCATTATGACCCACTGAGCGAATCACCATTTGTTCTAACTAATTGTAGTTGAATAAGTGAATAATTCTATAATGGAGGAGATACGTTGGTCAACCATTAATATTGCTAAAATATTCTACGAGTTAATAGTAATGGACAATTTAATATTTTAATAAATAATATACTTAATTTGGCTTGTATATTTCCTTTTACTAAGTAATGATTGAAATTAGAATAATTACCATCTCATTATTTGAAATATAAGTATTTAAATTTAAAATAAAAACAGTGCTGAAAATTAACCTCGCCAAAAAATTTAAATGTTTTGCTTGAAAATGTCTCTCTTATTTTTTATGGTGTATTTTGGCGTTGAAAAATTAGCCCTAGTAAAAGGGAGCTACTTTTGATCATTCGAAAAGAGTAGCATATATTTCCTTTTGTATGAAAATCTTTTAAAAAAATAATTCATAAATTTTAATAGTGCACTTGAGGATATTTTATAAATGAAACATACTGTCTCTTATTAGACATTTTGTATACACTCTTAGGTAAGAAGTTTATCTAACAAATATTAATCAATGCAGCACAGTTAAAAAAAGAAGAAGAAAAAACATTGTTTTGCATCAATGTATGTACCATTTAAATATTTTGACACAGCACAGTTAATGAAGAAGAAGAAGAATAAACATTGTTTTGCATCAGTGTATGTACCATTTAAATATTTTGACACAGCACTGTTAAAAAAGAAGAAGAAAAAACATTGTTTTGCATCAATGTATGAACCATTTAAATATTTTGACACAGCACAGTTAAAAAAGAAGAAAAAACATTGTTTTGCATCAATGTATGTACCATCTAAATATTTTGACACAGCACAGTTAATGAAGAAGAAGAAAAAACATTGTTTTGCATCAGTGTATGTACCATTTAAATATTTTGACGCAGCACAGTTAAAAAAGAAGAAAAAAACATTGTTTTGCATAAATGTATGTACCATTTAAATATTTTGACGCAGCACAGTTAAAAAAGAAGAAAAAACATTGTTTTGCATCAATGTATGTACCATTTAAATATTTTGATGCAGCATAGTTAAAAAAGAAAAAGAAAAAACATTGTCTTGCATCAATGTATGTACCATTTAAATATTTTGACACAGCACAGTTAAAAAAGAAGAAGAAAAAACATTGTTTTGCATCAATGTATGTACCATTTAAATATTTTGAAACAATTAATTTCAAACTATTTTATATTTTTTAAAAACTGACCCTTACGCTTATCATTCACTTTTAACTATGTAAGACTGCAGCTTCTTGACAGAATAATTACAAATTCTAAAGCATTTTTTAAGTTTCTTAGTCTCTGTTTCTCAAATTTAAATTAAAATTTCTCTTAAGGCGTGGTGGTCGAAAACGTAGGAAGTTACAACAGTTGGTAACTTAAAATTTATTGAACATTTTCAACTTTCGTAATTATGTCCTGTTTCGTTAACGTTTTGAAATAAATTGAAAGAAATTTTTCTAACAGACAAAACAGTGCAATTTTGAATATTGTATTACTAAATTTTTTATAACCGTGGTATTTATAAATTTTGAAAGCATTCAAATCGAATGTTCAGAGAGAGAGTCATGATTTGATACTTACAAGCGACGTCAAGCGCGGATAGGCCAATCAAGTTTGTTGAAATAAATTCTGATTCGTAAATTGATTCAACGTGATATTAAACTCGAACCGTAATGCTGTAACTTTACCACGTGATTAGACACAATAGCGTGATTAGTTTACTGTTCCCAATCAGAAAAAATTGGATGCTGGTGCAGTTGCTTATCCCTTTCTTTCGAGCTTCCGTGAAAATGACGGGGTGAGGTTTCGCCCTCTATTTCTCGCTCTCGTGATATTGACGGACTGGAGTGCTCACTAGTAACACACTAATAAGAATAAAACTAATTCATTTCTTTTGCCCGGAAAACATTTTATTTCTCATTTTACACAGGATATTTTTAAGGTAATTGTGGAAGAGATGAAAACAATAAGAGATGTAGGAAGGAAGCATGGTCCTACTATCCAGATTGTGACGTTGGGCCTCTGTATCTCATGCTTTGAAATTTATCACACAAGGAAAAATTACTAATCTTTATTTATAATATGCATAAGTTTATAAATTTATTATTCATTATTCGTATTTTTTTCAAATTTCCATGCTAGCTGGAAAACCAACATTAAGTCATAGTAACCGTGAATGTTGGCTTTTCCGAAAAATTTAATATTTTAAAATTTCAAGCTAAAAACAAATCAAAAATGAATATATCTGTTGTTCATACACATATTTTTATATAATTTTCAGTGATAAAAAAAATTATCACTTTTATGACCGTTTTCTTGAAAATTAACCAATTGTTTAAAATTTTTGAACATATTTAGCAATTATAATTATAACTTGTTTTGTTAGCATTTTAACATGACTAATCGATTTCTTTTTTTTCGTTTCAGCAACGTCCGCAGAAGCAAGGGTTGTGCCGAAGCCTCCGCCGCGACGCCCATATCAAGTGCCTCGTCCTGACCTTGCTTATTTTAGGGTGCATGGGAGCTCTGGTTTGGTGCCAGTGTGCCCGCGTCACGCGTCTCGTCGTTAACTTCCATTCCTTTCCTATTACTACCCGGAGGACGGCCAGCCCCTGTGAAGAGGGCTACGTCTTCATTCCGGTTGCCTTTATGGCCATGCTCTACCTGGTATACTTGGTAGAGTGTTGGCATTGCACCACGAGGCTGGAACTCGCGTACAAAGTAATGTTCTTCCCTTTTATTTCGGAATTAAAATTTTTAAAAAATTTTATTAAAGTTTAGTTGTAGATTAATAAGGAGAAAATTATTATTACTTTTTTACAACACCTAAATATTAAGGCTCATTCCTTTTAAAAAAACGAAAGAGAAATTTTCAATGATGATAATTTTGCACGAAAATAATGAAATTAAAAAAATAGCACATTACAGAAATAAAAACATTTTTTTTATCTCTTAATCCAACTTAAAAGGCGTAAATTTATATTTTATAATTCTCTTTATTTTAGTTTCCTGCTTATTAAGCTTGCGTTGACTGGTGATTAAATAAATTATAATTCGAATAGTTTTGTTTTCGCCATATTTAGGAAACAATTTTGTAACCGTTGTTGAACAGTCGACCCAATTTTGGGTTTACGACTACCAATGTTCAACAATGTAGCCTAGTAATTTTGAACCCAATACAGAATATGTGGGAACTTCCGGATCAAGTATTGGAAGAAATTTTGCCTTAGAGGAGGACTGCTTGATGAAACTAATCCGCATATGCGTTACATTGAGAAGAAAACCATGAAAACTTCCCATGGTTAGCCTGACGGCAAGGGGACTCTAACCCATGATCCGTCTATCTTTAAAGATATTTTTACGTCAGCACTGTGGTCAGCGCCTGTCAGGGAGACATACGGGCTATCCCCTTAGCCACCAGCTCTTAGGAAGCTATTGTATTCTGTAAATTGACGCTCTAAGAATTCGGGTTGATTATACATATTTTTTGGCAGGAAAATGGAGATTTGAATGTTGCTTGTTTGCACTCATGAAATGAGGAAAACGTATTATCATTCAGCATAGATATTTAAAAAATGCAAGAAAATATAAGCTCGCAAATTAATCGAATTTTAACTGGTGATAAATTCCATGTCGTAATTTAAAGGGCGATAAATTCTTATTCAGTAATTAAACGCTCATAAAACCGTTAAATTTTGCTTTGCTATCAGGGACGGAATAAATAGAGATATGTGTGTTTAGCTAAATGATTTACACGTCACAAGCTCTACTTTCGCTGCTGCTTGCAGTGTGTTTGCCTAAAGCATCAAGAAAAAATTGATCTTTAATAGAGCTTATTCTCATCTATCTGAGGGGCGACGTAAATTTGGAACTTTATTTGTACAAAAAAATATATGATTCGTCAATTATAAAAGTTTGCATGAGTTTCATTTCTTAAATGTAATTAGTTTTTTTGTAACGTATTTCGAGCCATGACCAAAATAAAAAACTCACCAATGACATTGTTCTTACTTTAGACGGTACTAACAATTGTACTGTTAAACAAGTATGCAGTTACGAAATTATCAGAAGTTTGTCATGTCAGTTAAGTGTCGCAACAATTGTAGAAAGAAATGACTATAAAACTATAAACATTTCATTAAAGGACACTAAAATAATATTTCAAGAGACGCAAACACATATTATCAAGCCTACTTCACACGACACAGTTATTACCAATCATTGAATCAAGAAAAGCCGGTTTACACTCCAGAAAAAACGATTTTACTGGGGGTATCATGCTGGAAAATAACGTGTGTGAAGTAATCTTATGCCAAATCGATATTAAAAGCAACTTCAAATTTAATTCTTAAAAACAGCATTTCAAAATAAGCGTCACCAGAAGTTTCAATAGAGGAGCTAAAAATTCCGCAACTGAGACTAGACGAGCCAACGCTCAAGAGTCTTTAAATGAATATGACTTCCGTAGTTGAGCAGTAACAGGTAGTGTAATTTTAATCATTTCCGCTAGATGGCAACACCTCTTACGCAGTTAATCATAGAATTTATTTTCGCTCCAGTAAACAGTGTTCTCCAACTTCAAGTGATCCCTCGATCATGATCACATTTTTATATTAAAATAAATTCTACTTTATATAAGTTTGATAAATTATTATTTTTTTAAAATATTTTTATATTTTTCAGGTGGATGCTGCTACAGTATATGAGCACATCCAACAAATGCGCGAGACTCAGCCTGTGATCTGGTGGAAGGCGGTCTGTTACCACTATGTCAGAAGGACGCGACACGTGACACGGTATCGCAATGGAGATGCCTACACCACGACGCAGGTCTACTATGAAAGGGTTAATTCCCATGGATCTGGTGCGAGCTTCACATACACGAATTGCGGCGTCAAGGACATCTCAAAAAAGGTTCATCTCTCCCTTTATCACTTTTCTTAGACCATAGTTAATGCAATCACCACCGATTTCATCAATATTCAAATACGCATGTTGAACAGTTATAATATTTTTAATTTGTGCTTTCATCTTTTTTATTACTTCAGTTCTGATTAAGTACAATTGAATTTGGTTGATAATCATTCTTCAGTTTTAGAGAATGCAAACAGGCTTTGTCTTTTGTGTCTGTACATTAAGGTCTATCGAACGAAAACACAACATGCGTGTAAATTTTGTGATTTTTCACTATATGTCTACGTTTTCCTAAATCTTATGGAAAATAGTTGTGCAATTTCAGTCACATATGGATAAAAATTATAGTACATAATTCATTTCAGAACTTTAAAGTTATGCATTTTATAAATAAAAAAAAATAAATTTTATTATATTTCCTGCTTTTTATAGCCCCCAATGAGCTGTGATTAACGTATCGTTCATGGGCTACACTAGTGACACAACTCAAAAAACACGAGTTTTGGCCTAAGAAAATGTGTAAATGGGAAAATACAAATTCTTTCAGCAGCAATACTTGCACAACTCATAATTCAACTTGAAGGTAATCTTCGTTTAAGCAAACGAAAGCATTTCTTATGCATTTTACTTAGCAATGAAAACTTTAAACCCACTTATCTCAAAAGTTGATTTTTTGAGTTGTGCCGCTGTTGAAACCCATGAGCGATATTTACAATCAAAAGAAAAACAAAATAATGTTAAAATTCAATTTAATTCGTTTTAGTAAGGTAAGGGAATTCCTCCCGCCGTTTTTTTGCAGCAGTTCTTGTGTCGAGCGACAGTTAAGACCTTACACCCAGTGACCCAAAGTTGAAGGAATATCTTAGCGGATAGCGATTCTTCATTTCCAACGATGATCTGAATGATAAGGTTTGATTGCTAGGACTGATATGGCATGAGACTGTTACAACGTCTATACAAATGCATAGACAAAACCGGCAAGTGTGTATAAAAATAGACAACTGTTAAATCCTTAAAATCATATGACATAAAAAAAAAAGAAATTTCTTCTTATTTCTGAATAAAGAACATAGCTTTTTTAGTGTCATAGCAGGACAGAAATATGTAATTCACTATAACGCTTTAGTTTATCTTTAGAATTATTCAACAGCACTTTAAAATTATAAAATTTAGACTATGGAAATGTTCCATTTTAATTACAAACTAATCATTTTCCCCTCTATTTTGAAGCTGTTGGATTTAGAGAAGCATCCAGCCACAAAAATCCGATTCAGCAAGGGATTCGCCTTCGCCAACCTGGAAGCTGCAAATGAATTCGACGAACAAAGAAGAAGGTTCTTCCATGAAAACGAGAGACTAGACGACTATATGGAGATGTGCGAAGGCTTAGATCTCGTGGGAGTCAATTTCCAGGAACATATGGTTGCTTTTGCTGAGCCCCACAGATTACCTTGGTACACAATCTATTATGCATTATCTATATTCTTTCATTCTCTATCGAACATTATGATACGAGTCCCTTGACTTTTACTGTAAATATTTGTTCCAAGAGGAAAAATTCGCCTGTATTCGCAAATTCGTCCAGCTATACAGAACTTAATTATAATATAATTAATCGTGTATATACAAACTATAATGAATAGTTCAGTATCAAGCATGTAAAATATATAGGGTTTAAAATTCATACCATGGAAGTGAAAAGATTGGCTCATAAAGTGTAAGTTTAAGGCACCATAGACGTAACTATACATCTCACATAAAGCACCTACTTATGTAGCAGATGTATTATTTGAAGATGTGCGGATTAATCAGGTTTAAGAAATCTATAGTTAATTTTGTTTGCCATAAAGATTATCATGGTACCATTTTATTGTGCATTATTAGTATTGTTTCACTCTCCATCAAACTTAATAAAACGAATCCCCTATTGTAGAGCGGTATTATAATTTAGCTACACAAAACTATAATTGTAATAAATAAACCATCACAATAATAATTATAATTATAATGAATTAAATTCATTCATTTTTATTACAAAAATATATATACTGTTAAAAATTAATTCATACCATAGGAGTAAAAAGACTGGCTCATAAAGTGTAAGTGTTGGGCAGCAAAAACGCAACTATTAATTTCACATACAGCATCTACTTGTAAAGTAGATGGATTATTTAAAGATGTGCGGATGTATGATATTCTAAATCAATTTTTAGAAATGCATGGTAGTTTTTTCCAGCTACAAAGATTACCTTGGTACCATTCCATAATGCATTATCTGCTTTATTTTTTTTTTATTATTATTTACCAAACATTTTTAATCGATTTCTTAGAGCTCTATTGTAGATATTTGATGAGGATAGGGATTGTCCCTTTGGAATGAGGATAGAGAGGAAAATTCGTTTGAATTTACAAATTCGCCTAGCTATGATATACAATTAATATGTAATTAATTAAAATGCAATGAATTAATCATAAACACAATGATTATAACTGTAGTGAATTAAATTAATCTTCATTCGAATGAAGTATATAGCTTATAAAATCGATTCAAGTAATAGAAGTAAAATTATTAGCTGATTTAGAGTATAATTTTTGGATGCCATATCCGCGGCTATATACCTTATAAAGCATCTGCGTATGCATCAGACAATAATATAAATATGAGCAAGGCGTCATTTTCAAAATCACGTTTTAGAAACGCAATGCTTTTGCGGAGCCACACAAATTATATATTTGCATTAAATTCAGCTAGTCATAAAGTCTATACAGAATGAGCGCAAATTCCATGGCAACCCATCGGCGGAAGTGTCATCGTACGCTGCAAGGGGAGCTTTCCCATTATGGGCAGGACTTTTTGCCTTCAAGACTTCAAATGACACATATCCATTTAGATAAACAAGGGAATTACTCATTCTTCTTGAAGAATAAATACTAAACTACCACGTATAAATAGTAAATATTCAAGTTTTAATGCTAATCATATGCGTTGATACTAATCATACGTGGCTTTATGTAAGTATTTATGTAAGTAAGTTAATGCACAGGTATAATTTATGCAATCGAAACATTTTTAACATATATGTTTAATAAATAAAAAGATATAGGGTAAATAAAAAATATTGATGATTATATTAATAAAATATACTACTACTGAACTAGCGCTTTAGTATGTTGAAATCATTAAGTTTATTATTATTTTTTACGTGTAAAAACATAATTGCGGAGGCTTTGATTTTATGTGATACCACTTATTATTTATCATAGCTGCTTACTAATTTTCAACAACTGTAAAAATTAAATAAATTACAGTTTTTGAATGGGGAGGATGTAAAGTACTTTGTTGTAAATGAAATATAATTTTTATATTTATTAAAAAAATTAATTAAAACTAAATTTTCAGCACTCCAGTAAGCTTAAACCATTAAGATTTTTTTTGTTATGTAGCATGATTCTTTGTAATTATTTATCATAGACACCTACAAGCTCCCAACAACAATAAAAACTAAATTAATAGCAATTTATGAATTGTGTCATTTAAGAATTTCAAAGAAAAAATAGTAATATAGGAAAATATAAGCCTGCAAACTGTCGCAAATTATAATACAATAGAAACTGAAGAAATAATGTTACAAATGTGCTATAAGTCAAAAATTAATCCACTATTGCATAATTCAGCATTTCTCGCTTTCCCTAATTCTCTAAGGTTGTAAATACCCCCAACTCAAGCCAAGATTGATTGATTAATACACGAAAGGGTATAGGAGTGCCTAGTGGCAATAGCTAGGCAATGACCGATAACCCGATAGAAGATCGATAAACTTAACGCTTTTGCTTCAATGCAGTCGGTCACTTTCGATTATATTCTGAATGTATGGAAAAGTCTAGGTTAGGATTGCTTTTTTTCCTGTTCTATTTTCCTTTTTGCGATAGTTACTGCAGATGGAATTGGATAAATTATACCAGCATGTTGTTTCCGACAATTTGAGTTGTTTTGGAACTGAACAGAGCTGAAAAATAATGCTCAAAATGAGCTCTAAACCAGTCAGATTTTGCAAAAATAAAAAAAAAATAATAAAAATAAAGAATTATTGTATCTTTCTCTCACAAAATAGTAAATAAAGAAAAAAACCTTTATTTACCACATATTTTTACAACATAATATTAACATTTTATTTTAGTATTATTATGTGGTGAAGGATAGCTCCAAATTGTTAATCTATTATCTATTTACATATTTAAATCAAATATTTCGAAAGGAAGGGAAGAGGAAAATCCTAATAAATTACATGTTTCATTGTCTTTTTTTTAACCCGAAGCTATTTCGTTACTACAACGATTTTAATCCACTAATTTGCGATCTATTTTGTTTTTAGATATTTTTTGCAGAAAATATTTTAAAACAATTTTCAACTGGCTATTCTTATGAAACTATTAAGTTTTGAGATTGACCAAAACCGAAAAAAAAAAAGTTTGAAAATGTGCTTAAAAATTCTACCATTAGTTCTTACCTTACCATGGAAAATAATGCTGGACAGTATTATTAGTTTTATATCATTTTGTGGTGAAGAAATGCGCCAATTATTGAATTTAAAATCTATTTCTGTTTTATATTTAAATCAAACATTTTGATTAAGGCGACAGAAAAAAAACCTTTATTTATTTCAAATTAAATATATTTTCTTTAATCCGAAGCTATTTCATTACTACAACACTTTTAATCTACTAATTTTATATCTATTTTTTTATATTTACTGTAGAAAGTATTGAAAAAATTGTATCAGCAGTTTATTCTCGTGATATTGTTAAGTTTTGAGACTGAACAAAACTTTAAAAACACGATTGAAATTTCACTTTAAAGCCTTTAACATTTTCTAGAAAATGAATATATGCGTATGCACTACTTTTTTTAAAAGAAGCATTTAACTAAATGAAAACTCTAAACTCAATTTCAATAATATCGAGGGGAGGAAAATAGAACACTTATAAATTTAATTTGCGTTTCCCTTTTCTATTTAAATAAAATATTTCGATTATAGTGATAGAAAAAAGATAGTAATAAACATTTTGTTAACTACTCTTCATATTACAAAGTCTTCCTTAACTATAATATTTTTAATCCAATGTTACACTGTTATCTTAGAACTTCTCTTAGAGGATTTAGAAAAATAAAAACATAATTCAGCATAACTAGAAATGCAGCAGACGTACCGAAAAGAAAAGTACCCACAAAGTACTTTAGAGGCAATTTATTTAAAGTGTTTTGAAAATTACAATACGAAAGTAAATTACATTTCTAAGAAACTACATGTAAATTCCCTGTAATGTAAAATGCCCTGATAAAACTCAGCTACCATTACTGATTATGTATCAATAGAATTTTATTTAAGAAAAAAAGAAAAAAGGTTTTATTAGAAAAAAAAAAACAGAGCACCGAAAGTAAGTACATTTTTAAATTTCGGTTGAGCTATAATATTTTTCTCTTCCTTTATAATTTTATTTCATTTTTTAAGTAATATATATATATATATATATATATATATTCTAACTTGATAAAAACATAATGGGAATAACCAATACATTGAAATAAAACACTGATNATAATATAATATAATATAATATAATATAATATAATATAATATAATATAATCGACTCTACAAGTAGTTAGAAGTCTCTTGTAGAAATATTCAGACATGCACCCTAAATAAATCTTCATAATGGTGAAAGTGTTTCGGGTGCAAGATTTTGCGTTCGAACTGACCTCTTGATTATATCCCATAAACGTTCGATGGGATTCATTTCGGCTGATCTTAGAAGGTCAAACAATTGTTTAGAATAGTCCTGAATGTTCTTCAAACTAGTCGTGGACAATGGAAGCCAGGTGTGTGGCGCATCACGAAATTTTTATTGTTGTTTGGGTACCTGAAGTCTAAGAATAACTGCAAGTGGTTTCCAATTAGCTGAATATAACCATTTCCTGTCAATGACCTATGCAATTGGACCATAGGATCCAGTTCATGCCATAAGAAAGCAGCCTGTACTATTATGGAGCTATCTCCAGATTGCATAGTGTCTTGTTCAAAACTTGGGTTCATGGCATTGTTGGTTCTGTGCCACACTCAAAATCTATCACCTCTGACCAGCTTAAATTATGACTTAATTGCAGTTTACCAGTCGTCTCGGGCCCAACCAATAAGGTCGCGAGTCCAGGTGATGTGTTGGATGTGATGTTAGTCAGACTGGAATGTAGTAAAAGCATTCCAGTCTGTCTTCTGCTGCCATATTTCAATACAGTCAAATTTCGCTGCACTTACCTAAGAGACATGCTCATTTTATGTCCCGTATTGATGTTTGCTTTGTTTCACGCTCTGTTACTGGTCTCTTAACAATGACAATTCTACGCAGACGTCAGCGACCTCGGTCATTAAGTGCTAGAGGTCGACCACTACGTTGCCCGCCCATGGTGAATGTTTATGCCTGAAATCAGGTATTCTTGGCATTCTCTTGACATTGCAGATTTAGGAATGTTGAAATCCCTCAAAGGTATTGAAATGGATTGTCCCATGCGTCTAGCTCCATCTTCCATTCAACGTTCATAGTCTGTTATTTCTCATCTTGTTGCCATAATTACTTCACAAACATTCTCAGATGAATTACTTGAACACAAATAAAAGTCCTGCCAGTGCACTGCCTAATCTATGCATTTTGCCGATACTACTCCCATCGGCATATTTGCATATTACTCTCTCCATGACTTTTATCACCTCAGTGTATGAAAAACATACTTTAATCTATTAAAAGACTTAAATAATCTATTATAAATTATGCCATTTCAAATAGTTTACAAAGTCAATCTGAATACATTGTTATATGCTATAGCTGTCAGTAATAAATGTCTTTATCTGTGTTTTTAGAATCTTTGCCAAAATTGAAACAGAAATTTATGAATGGTGAGGAAAATTATTACTTAATGTGAAGAAAAAAAAATGAAAACCATATCGAAATCTATGGAATCACAACTAAGAATGACAAACCAGAAAATATAACACATTTATTTGACTCCCGAACGAAACAAGGGGATTTTGAAATTGATTATTTAAAACACCTCCACGTTTCATTAGGTAGTCAAATAAGTTTTGATGTCCTTTACTATACCTTCTTTTCTAATAGTTCGGCAAACTTTGATGGCACATTTGTTTCGTTCTTTCAAAATTTCTTCCTATCGCACTATAAGTACGTGAGGCACGTAGTTTATCTAGCAATACCTAAACAATTTTGATTTGAAGTGAAACAAAATCATACATTAATTTGGTGACAGATTATTTGACTTGAAAAAAATGAAAGCTATATAGAAATCTAAGGGTTAATTACAGAAAAAGACAAAGCTCAAAATTTGACACATTTGTTCCCCAAACGAAACAAGAGAAAAATGAATATTTGATACGTTTCAAAACCTCCAGTTTCATTGGGCAATCAAATAAATCTATTTTGATGTCTTTAACCATGCCTTTTTTTCTAATGGTTCAGCAAATTTTAATGGCATATTTGTTTTGTTCAAAAATTCTTTTTACCGCACTATGAGTAGATGTAAAACGTAGATTGTTCGACATACTTAAGGAAATGGTAATTTATTTAAATAATATGTACTTTTTTGCTCATTGTTACATTGTTTCAAATATTTTTTAATAGGTACGTCTCTCACATGATCTTCTGGATCTTTAGTTTAGCATTGCTTTCCTGGCCCCTGAGGGTGCTCATTCAGTACAAGACTGCGTATGTCCACTACCAGGTTAATAAACTGTTTGGCGTCAACTACCTCACCCCGTCTAGTGAAGCACAAATGATAGGTCACATGTCACGTGGTACTACAATAGACAGTTCCGAATTCGAAAGACAGATTACAAACAATAACACAATAGCTCCTAGTTACTCAGAATCACTGCTACTTCGATCATCGAGTTCATTCATGGAGAGGAATCGTGTGCAGCACATTGTACCAGATCTCAATCCACCTCCAAGTAGATCAGCTTCCACCAGAAGATTCTCCACAGGAATCCCCGTGTCCATCAGCAGATCTTCTCTACAGAATGGTAGAGTGGTGTATTACGTGTCCCCCTTAGAAGAAGTGAATAATGAAAATCACGTGACGAGACGTGAAAGGACTGGAGATGACCCATCAGAGAATGCTGTTGTCCCTCCCCCGTCGTACGATGATGCCTTACGCCACTGCCGACCCTTATTCCTACCTTTGAGGAGATCTGTGACAGACAGAGACATTCAGCGGAGGTTACCATTGGTGTTTGTCCATTATCCCAATCAGAGAGACACGATACCACTGGGTGAGGATATTGAAGAGAATGAACCAGAAACTGCAACAGAAACTAACACACCAGAAACTGCCACAGCCACCACTACTCCAGAAATAGCCCAAACAAGTTTATGACCAATAAGGTTACCCGATCCAAAACTCTTTAAAAGTTAAAATATCTTGTCATTATTTTAAGAATGAAGCACTAGTAAGCATCATAAATTTTTTATTGTTTATTGCATCTCGTTTTATAAGAGATTCTGAAATTATTCAGTTTGATTAACTAAATCATTTTTTAATGCAGATTAGTTCTTCTGGCTCTTTTAAAACAAAAACGGCTGTTCACTTCAAAACTTAAGAATCGCAGCCTGCATTAAATTAGACTCCATTACATAAGAATCCAAAACATAGGATAATATGATAAAAATTGAATGTCTGAGATAAAAATCAAAAACTTGAATGTATAGGATAAAAATCAAAAAATTTAAAAAAAAAAACATAAAGAAGTTTAAGCGACGTTAAATTTTTTTATTTTTATTGTTTGATTTCCATTATATATTTCTTACATGGCTATATTATCAAGCATAGTCAATTTCATTTTAGTACTTCTCATACTGTTTCATTTATATATTTTGCTAAGGAGGTGCTGCTTCAATAGCACAAAACACCTTTTTATAGATATGACCATGCAAGTTGAGAAATTTATTACAACATCAGAATTCATGAATTTTTTTTAAAAATTCTTTGAACTATTTTATCATTTCATAAAATCTTAAACATGTTCCGAAGCGTTATTTTTCTTTTTAGAATGATACACCATGAAAATAGGCATATGTTTTTCTCTAGACTTCTCATCAAATGATAAATGACTGTCCTTTACTAGTTTCCAATGTCGAATGTTTAATCTTTAACATTACTCATGCATAAAACCTCATATTTTCAGACAATGTTAAAAAAATGCTCAAAATACTAACACAAAACATTATACTTTACTTTAAAAATAAATTATCAGAGAATTTAATTTATATTAGATAAAAATGTAACTAAACTTCTTTAACATCGAAAATTATGAAAAGCAACTAGTGCTTCATTCTCACAATTTATTAGTTAAAATGTATAGCAGAGGCAAAATTAATCAAGCTTACTTAAAGCAATTTCATGAGCTTATAAATATATAAATACACTATTGAATTTTTCTTTCTAAGATACGATTGAATTCTAAATCTAGAATTATCTTTTTTAATAACTGTGAGTATTTCTTGTCCTAATTCTTTTCAAAATGTTGATGACTATCTATATTCAGAAAGTTTAACACCACATTTTTCTTTTAGCACATTTTTGGACTAAGCACAAGCTAACAAATTCCATATGCTAAATATATATTAGTTTTTGCAGAAAATCCTATTTTAAATACATCTTTAGCACCGAAAAGAAGACAGAATTATATTTTTATTCGTAAAAAAATATTATACGTAAGATAGTATAAGTAATTATGTAATAATCGGCAGATGTATATAATTTAGAATCGGACTAAGAGAAATTTCTTCGCATATATATAAGCTTCGAAAAAATTAAATGCTGAAAAATTGCTATGAGAGTTAAAAAAAACATGAAACAAATATTTGTTCTTAATTAAATAATTGAGCTTTTAGTAAGTAAACATATTGAAAAATTAAATTAATTACTGTAATTAAGAGCAATGAGATTTATTTTTTTATGTTCAGAAAGTTTTTTTATAGCGTTATAATAATGTTTATATTATGAAAACTTATTCTAAAAATAATAGTTAGGTTATCGTTTTCGCTTAAATTTTTAATTATTCAATTATAATGGAGTAAAAAATGTACTATCAAAACAAATTTGTTTCAAACCAAGTATGATAAACATCACCATAGTTTTTAAATTAAAATAAGATAATAAAAAAACACCAGAAAACTGTTCTTACAAGAAAGGCAGTTATGTAAAATTCTTTAGTTACAATAAGCCTATTATTTATATGCTTTGTTTAACCATTGCTGAACTATATCAGTAACTATTTGACTGCCACATATCAGGCTGTCTCAAGACACTGAAATGGACAATCACAAAAGTAAACTGCTTCTGCTATGTTGATAAAGCCTTCAATTAAACAACAATTGAAGTTGTCTGTTGACCCTAGTTAAAACGTCTTTTTATTACTGGAAAAAGTCAGTTTATGAAATTAGGTTATGATTTATCAATTTTAAAACTGTTTTGCGCTTTAATTTAGCTTTAAATAAATTCTCAAAAGAACTCGAAACCAAAACAATTAATATTTTCTTAAGTTAGAGATGTACTTAATAATAACTTATTCATTTTTACTTCTCTCTTATAATAATAAAATCAAAGAAATCAATTAAGATAATAAGGAAAATTTGCAGTAAATAATATTTTATATAGAAATGATTAATATAATATATTGAGTAATTTCAAGCGGCAAAATAACGTTCTTGTTGATATCAAAATTTAATTTGCTCCTCCTAGGCCGATAATGGGGTTTAATATCAAATCTTAATAAGATCTAATTAGATGGGGAAAAAATTCCACTAGAAAATATTCTAAACATTAAAAACAAAGTTCTTCACAACATTAAATTGATAAAGATGGCTATTCTTATTCTTTTGTTGCTAAGGCAAACTAGTTTATTGATATAAAAAATTTAACGGTCTGTAACGTAATTGATTAGTTTTTTTTAATTGTTATTGCCTTCTATATATCTAGAATTGAGTATAGAGCAAATTTATAAACAGAAAGCTGCAAACATGTTCAGCTTTGGTAAAACAAATCATAAAATATTATTTATTTACGCTAATAAAACAAAATTATAAAATTTAATTAAGAACTTTTGTCTAATAGTAATTATTTACCTTTTTAAAATCATACTTCATAGTTTTTTTAAAAATTCAAAAGTAAATTTTGAATAAGAAAATATAAGCGCAAGAAATAGAGAATAGTTTTGTCACTACTTAATTGTTCTTAAATCTTAAATATGCATTTTTCACAGATATACAACTTTTGGCTTAATAAAAGTAATTTTCTCCACAAAGAAATGTATGAAAGTATTATTAGATGACGTCAAAAACACTCTTTTAAAAAGAAATTAAAATTGGAAAAATGTTCTCTTTTATAGTATGTTTCAGGGCAAAATCAAAGAGACATCGTGTCTTCAAGGAAAATATATAATTGACTATCATATTAATGTTTTAAAATTTTATTTCAATTAAAAAAATATCTTTCTGTGAAATTTTTCCGTAGGAATCCCTAAACAATAACGTCCAATAAAATGATTTCGAAATTAATTTATGATTCAAAATATTAGTTATAATTTTTTTAGGAAAAATCTAAATCGTGAAAAATTAGTACATTTTGAAAAAGATTTATTTTAATAATACTTTTTCCTTAACTATTCGAAATCCTTCGAAAATTAAAAAATATTTAGATGATTTTAGAAATTTAATGTTTAATATTAATCTCTGGTTTATTTTATATCAAAAACTGAAAATGGAATATTTTTACTAATGTTTGTTGACTATCAAATTATTATTTTAATATAATTTATCTTAATTGAAATAGAATATGTTTGAGTTCATATTTATGTTACGCTAAAAACTATTTCAATTAATCTAATTGCTTGATTCGTTTTAAATTTTATTATCATTAATTCTTTGTTGGACAGCGTAGAACTTTTTATAACTAATAAATATACTTGCATTAGTATAAAAATTTCAAAATATAAATTGATAAATTAAATTTATATATTACTGAGAAGGGTAAAAAGAAGTAATAAAATGACGAAAATTAATTTGCAGTTGAATACTTCAAACATGTGTGTTGCGGCAGTTTAGGAAAAGTAAATGCATGAATGCGTTTACAAAATGTTATGTTGGTGAAAATATTCTTCCCCTATCTACCCTTCTCTAAGAAGAATTGCATAAAGTATGCAGACATTTTTCAACGCCTATATAACTTCATACCACAGTATTACCGAAAATTAACAATAAAAAGTAAAAATTCATGAACAAAACTTAAGGAATGCTAAAGTTAAATTCAGTATTAATTTCGGTTTTACAATATATTTATTTAAAGAAGATTCAAAAATTGCATTGTTTATATGATTCATCTCCAATTAAATTAAATTTAAATATGCTTTCCTTTATAATTTAAGTATACTTTTATCTCGCTGAATAACAATTAGGTTTTTAATTCAACCATTAATAAATTATATTAAATTCTTTCATCATATATTTTCAAACCGGATAAAAATTAAATTACCAAAATTACAATACATAAACATTTTATGTAAAAAAAAACTTTAGTTATTATCACAATTTAAATTTCTCAAAATACTTCGTAAATTGAAACAAAAAATAATATTTTTTCTTCAAAATAGAAAACTATAAATACTTAATACTGAAGGAAAACAAATTTTTTTTTAAAATTCTGAATAGATAAAACTTCTTTGAAAAAAAAACGCGCTAAAAAGCAGCAATAATTTCAAAAAAATTAGCAATAAAGGAAACGAAGGAAATAAAAATAAAAATATGACCACCGAAGCCGACGTCTTCAGGGGGTACCGGTAGCCATAAAACAAAACCATTTCTTTTGAGGGAGAAGCAAATGCCTAAATTAACCTTCTCAGTACCCCGATGGGTTTGTGTAGAAGTCCAGGAAAAAACATGAAATACAAATAACCAATTTAGAAAAGAAACTCAAACAAAATCATCAGAAAATAAATACTTAAATTATAGAATGCAATTTTTATACATGGAATTTAAAAGAAAAAGATTTAAACATATGATTAAACTGTAGAGGGTATATTATGGGTTTTGCTTTTCAAAGAACACATGTAATGATGAAAATTTTTTTTGAAACTGTGCACGTCATTTCCATATACATTTAAAACACATAGCCATAAACCTGTAGTGGAAAAATTAATGCCAAAAGTTTTATTTTTCGCCAAGCCATTCGCTCAATTTGCGCATGACAACTTAACTGTCTAAGAAAGCTTTAAAAGGTTCGGTACAATCGAGACTGTTATTTTATTTAAACATATCAAAGACCGAATGAGCCTTCACAATCGTTTTGATTACCTTGCTATAAGTCTTAGGCGTAGAAAATATCTCACTATTGAAATAAATATAATTTGAGCAACCAGATGTCAAAAGAGCACATTTGAAATATGTTTTGGCAAATAAGACTTTAAAGCATTTTTTTTTAAAAAATGAACACGAGTTCCTGTATGCTTTATGCATAATTTTATTTCTATGATAACGATATAAAATATGATTTAAAGATGAAAAATATCATCTTAATCATAAAATAATGTGAATCTATGAAATATACAATAATTTATTAGACATCTGGTTACTATAAATATTGTGAAAGTATTTTCCTGTAATTTTGATGGAAAAATATGCCAAGTGAAAAATACATTTATTTCTTCGCTACAAAACCAAAACT